ACTACATGGGAGTCCAGTGACATAGCCATTATGGTAACTGCTGGTCCCCCAAGACATGTTTTTGGTATTAGATGGAAAATCACTTAAATGGATAGTAATGTTTGCTTTTAATTCAATATGTTTAGGATTTTTTTTTTCTTTTCAAAATTTATGGAACTAGGGTTAAAAAAAGGCATTTTAAAGAGACAATATCTTGTTAAAAAAGGACTATTCTTACTTAAGGCCCTTTCACAGTTTTCTGAGAGGTCCTTTGAGACTTCATACAAATGCATATTATAAAAAAATTACGTATAGATTTCAAAATTTTTGCACCAAAATAAACTCATATTTTAATTTTATTTTCACATGAACTTTTTGAAGCCCTCTCATATTTCTAGCTTTTAAATTAATAAGGCATAGGTAATATGATCACATGCTTGATATATTGGATTTAACTAGGCATTAAGAAAGAGGGCACTTTTCCTTCCTTCGTTTTAAAATCCTTTGCTTCATTGGGCGAGTGAACAAAATTATGGAAAGGATTTCACAGGTGAGCATTTTTACATGTGCAAAAGATAAGTCCATGGACTAAAACATATCCATTTATATTTTTGCTTTATGCAATTATTTTAACTACTATGCTTATTGGGAAGGAACTATTAAACCATACATGCCAGCTTATGTAATAGCCATGAAAAGAAATTCAAGACCAGAGGACACAAAGTATATGGAATCAATAGAGCAGGAGGCTTCACTATACAGTTAGCAATTAAGAGAGAATAATGTCAATGGAGAACTGGAAAGGAGACATGGGAGGCAACGTCTAATCTTTTGTATAGCAAAAACACTAAGTGTGCTGTTCATGATTTTTAGTAAGAAAACCAATTGAACAGAGGGAAGATGCCAAACTCACTTTCCATCACATTGCTCATACCAGGCAGACCTTCACAGTGGGCGAATGCCTGAGTGGGGCCAACTTTAGAGCATTTCTAATCCCTGAGAGTTGTTGTCCTTGTGGTCTCCAAGTAGGAAAGAAAAATTCTTTTGCTAATGTCTTTTTTTTTTTTCCCACCTGGTCCATGTTTATTATATGTCTTTCCAATGTAAATACGTGTTTGGGTTTCTTTCCTTTTTTTTATTATTTTTTTTAAGAGAGATTTTTGCTCTAGGGTGTGTGCGTTCACCAGAGAGACAGAATTAGAAGTTTTAATTCCTTACATGTGTAGTCTATCCTGTGCTCACCTCCAATTTGGGTTTATATTTACAATAAGAATGAGAAAAGGAGATTTGTATTTCTAAAATTTTGCATCTGGCTCAATTTATGAAACTTATAATAGCATTACCTAATTTTTACATTAACACAGTTTGGGAAATATTGGGTTAATACATTTTGCTACAAGTTTGGGCGAGTGAACAAAATTATGGAAAGGATTTCACAGGTGAGCATTTTTACATGTGCAAAAGATAAGTCCATGGACTAAAACATATCCATTTATATTTTTGCTTTATGCAATTATTTTAACTACTATGCTTATTGGGAAGGAACTATTAAACCATACATGCCAGCTTATGTAATAGCCATGAAAAGAAATTCAAGACCAGAGGACACAAAGTATATGGAATCAATAGAGCAGGAGGCTTCACTATACAGTTAGCAATTAAGAGAGAATAATGTCAATGGAGAACTGGAAAGGAGACATGGGAGGCAACGTCTAATCTTTTGTATAGCAAAAACACTAAGTGTGCTGTTCATGATTTTTAGTAAGAAAACCAATTGAACAGAGGGAAGATGCCAAACTCACTTTCCATCACATTGCTCATACCAGGCAGACCTTCACAGTGGGCGAATGCCTGAGTGGGGCCAACTTTAGAGCATTTCTAATCCCTGAGAGTTGTTGTCCTTGTGGTCTCCAAGTAGGAAAGAAAAATTCTTTTGCTAATGTCTTTTTTTTTTTTCCCACCTGGTCCATGTTTATTATATGTCTTTCCAATGTAAATACGTGTTTGGGTTTCTTTCCTTTTTTTTATTATTTTTTTTAAGAGAGATTTTTGCTCTAGGGTGTGTGCGTTCACCAGAGAGACAGAATTAGAAGTTTTAATTCCTTACATGTGTAGTCTATCCTGTGCTCACCTCCAATTTGGGTTTATATTTACAATAAGAATGAGAAAAGGAGATTTGTATTTCTAAAATTTTGCATCTGGCTCAATTTATGAAACTTATAATAGCATTACCTAATTTTTACATTAACACAGTTTGGGAAATATTGGGTTAATACATTTTGCTACAAGTGAAATGAATGCTCTCAAATGATGGGTACTGTTTTCACATGCAAATAAAATAGACTATATCTTAATGGAAATATTAAAAATTATTTAATAAAATTAGGAGTAGTAATAATATTGACTTAGTAATAAAGAATTTAGCCTCTAGGCCCATTCCAAATCACTTTCTGCAATCTGCGAACATATAGCTAACTCCTCAAATATAGACACTGTCATTTAGAAAGCATAATAAAAAGAAGTACATGAAAATGAGCCAAATGCTGTTCATTCCAAGACAGCAGTGTCAATTAGCTAGAGGCAGCATCTGACTTTGAAGAAGAGAATTTCTAGAACACAGAAGTAGTCATATATTTAAAAATAATATCTACAGTTCCTCTTAGGAATCTCTAAAGGATAAAGGAAATTTTAATGTGCATTGCTGACTAATAATTGATTATCAGCATATTAGTAAAAGACAGTGTTAAATAATATTTTGTACTCACGATTTTCTTCTAACTTAACTATTCAGAAACATTTTAAAACATTTTAAATATATTTTAACGTGTTTAAATCTATATAATGTTTATAATTAATTCCAGTATGCAGGTTCTGTGTTAGATGTTATTTCCATATTTAAACAAATAACAAAAGGAAAAGGTCTCAAATTTATAACTCTGGACTGTACATGTGTAAATGATAAAAGCCCAAAACAAAATTATTAGGTCCATATATTGAAAGGGGGAAAATTTCCCTACTTAGATCAGAGAGACACATCTGGCTTTAGACACATATGGAATGGCAAACTCAGTGATGTCACTCAAATGCTTTGTCTTTCCCACCGAGAGCTCTGCTCCCAGCACTCTCTGCGTAATGATGGTGGTTGTTGCTAGACCCCATAAGCTCCAGGTTTAACATTCCTCACTTCAGCAGAGAGAAACTAGTGCTTAGCACTACATGGGTCACATGTCACCTGTCACGAGATCAATTTCCACGTACAGACACTGAAAACTCTCAACGATTAGACACTCATGTCCGTTCTTGTTATGCAAAGGATTGTAGAAGGGCTGGACTGAAAAGAAAGAACAAATTCTGTTACCATAAGATGGGAGTGGGATGTTGGATGAAGAAGAAAATGAGAGGATCCAAGAGCCACCAAAATATGGCACAAATATATCTAAGTACTAAACAAGAGCACATGCTGTGGGACTTCAGTGCCACAAGAAATGCCCATAGTTCTCCGATACTGAGAAAACCCTGCAGGGTGAGACAGTAAGGAAAGAAATTATGAAATTTTTATTATTGTAGGCATAGTTTAAAATTAGGCCACTTAATCAAGTGTGAAAAGATGATTTTGGCCATATTGAAATATAAAATATGGTCAAGCATAGCTGTGAGAGAATGAGGTCATTGTCTCGTTTATTTGTGTTTTGGGGTTTTATAGACATATAATAGTTGTTCATATTTATTGAGTATACTAGTTTGTCATTACATGAATACAATGTGTAATGGTCAAATATGGGTAATAAATATGTCCATCATTTTAAACATTTATCATTGCTTTGTGCTGCGAACATTTGTTGTTCTTTATTCTAGCTAGTTTGAAACATAAATTAAATTGTTACTAATTGGTTACTCTGTGTTATAGCACTCTAGAACTCATTCCACTTACCTACTTGCATTTTCGTATCTGGGAACCCTTTTCTCCCTATCTTCGCCTTCCTCTCCTCCCAGAGGTATAGAGTGTTATAACGTTCTCCGCTTTAATGCAGTTAAATCTGTTAGCTTGCAGTAATGAGTAAGCACATACAAGCTCTGTCATTCAGTGCCTGGTTCATTACACTTAGAATAATTTTCTCCAGGTTCTTACATGCTGATGCAAAAGATAGGATTTCATCCTTTTTATAGCTGAATAATACTCAGTTGTTCATATGTACCACATTTTCTTCATCCTTTTATTAGTTGTGGGGGACTTTGATTCCACACTAATAGTGCTGCAATAAATGTGAGAGTTCAGCTATCTCTTTGACATCTGATTTATTTTCCCTTTGGATATGGATCCACTAGTGGGATTACTGGATTGTAACAGAGGAATTGTTGAAACGACCCATCAGTTCCCCAGAACTTGTAGTCAAATACTTTTGAAATAGTTGATTTCTGTTTTTAAGCTCTGAGTAAGTAATTACTACTATTATAGAAAAATATTTGGATTTAACCAGGAATTCAAGGTTAGATTAAAAGGGAAAAAAAATGACCGTAATATGCCATATTAATAGACTAAAAGTAGAAATAAAGACATTACCTTGGATCAGTCTTATAGTCCAGTGGTTAAGGGAGCTGCATCCCATTGGTTCAAGCTCTGGCTCAGTGATTTGAGAAACACACTGGGCCTGTGTGTGTGTGTGTGTGTGTGTGTGTGTGTGTGTGCATTCTCAAAATCCCAATAGGATGGAGAGATGGAAGGGAAGGGATCGTTGTGTGACCATACTCAATTGTAGGGGTGTGCTTTCTACCTCTCTCTCTCTCTCTGACTCTGGGTCTCTCACAGGATACACTCCCCTGGCAATTAGAAAAAAAAAAGTAGACTGATGCCAAAAAATGGTTAAACATACTTCCAAATTTATTCATGGTAAAAAAAAAAGCTGTCAATAAATAAGTAGAAGAGAATTTATCATGATAAAAGTCATGTAAAGAAACTTCTAGAGCTAACATTATGCATAAAGGTCCCAAAAGAATACCTAAATAAATATCTTTTTCTCCGGCCACGCCGAGCCGGCTCTGGTTACTGTGCACGTTGGGTCTCCTCCTCTTCCTCTCCTGGGGCAACTATGGCGGCCGTGAAGACCCTGAACCCCAAGGCCGAGGTGGCCCGAGCCCAGGCGGCGCTGGCCGTCAACATCAGCGCGGCGCGGGGGCTGCAGGACGTGCTGAGGACCAACTTGGGGCCTAAGGGCACCATGAAGATGCTCGTTTCTGGCGCTGGTGACATCAAACTAACCAAAGACGGCAATGTGCTGCTTCACGAAATGCAAATTCAACACCCAACAGCCTCCTTAATAGCAAAAGTAGCAACAGCCCAGGATGACATAACTGGTGATGGTACTACTTCCAATGTCCTTATCATTGGAGAGCTGCTGAAACAGGCGGATCTCTACATTTCTGAAGGTCTTCATCCCAGAATAATCACTGAAGGATTTGAAGCTGCAAAGGAAAAGGCCCTTCAGTTTCTGGAACAAGTCAAAGTAAGCAGAGAGATGGACAGGGAAACACTTATAGATGTGGCCAGAACATCTCTTCGTACTAAAGTTCAGCTGAACTTTGCAGATGTCTTAACAGAGGTATGTGTTAAAGTTTAGTATGTGTCTGGTATAATACACCTACGTGGAAAAATTCCTGATAGTCAACACATCAGTATTCTTACTACTTCCACTTACCGGTGCTATCTGAAGTCTTCACAATATCAAATCGGATAAGAAAAGTACACTTATTTTTGTGGCAATGATGCCTAATCTGTGACTTTAAAAAGTAAAATAAGAACATTAATAGTATACCTTGACCAGGTATTAAAATCTGTAATTGGAATGTTCATTAAAAGGAATATAAAATGGAGACTTCAATATTAGAAAAATTCCTGGTATAAGTAAATAGAAGAGATAGTAATGATTTTCGAGGTAATTAAAATTTCAGAAACAGATGATTTCAATTCTTTACATATGTGTTTTTAACTTATATAAAAAGATTAATCCAGATCTTTTAAAGCAAAGTTATTATCTACTCCCATGAACAAGTAACAGTTCATTGTTTCAGTTTCTGTGATCAAGTTTAATGGTTTTACTCCTACTGTAGGCTGTAGTGGACTCCATTTTGGCCATTAAAAAACAAGATGAACCTATTGACCTCTTCATGGTTGAGATCATGGAGATGAAACATAAATCTGAAACTGATACAAGGTAGGTAGTAAAATGCTTATAAAAATAATAAAGTTGGTTTAGAAATTGGTAGAATTAATAGTGTAACACACTACATTGCTGTAAGCCATATGCATGCAGTGTTAGGGCTCTCTTCCCATGCAGCTTGGGTATGCCAGGTATGTGAGTACCTGTGTTCCTGACTGACTTCAGATCCAGAAAACCTAAATCCTGATTGCTTGGGACATGCAGGACTTGTGTATGAGTACACATTGGGAGAAGAGAAGTTCACCTTTATTGAGAAATGTAACAATCCTCGTTCTGTTACATTATTGGTCAAAGGACCAAACAAGCACACACTCACTCAAATCAAAGATGCAATAAGAGACGGCTTAAGGGCTGTCAAAAATGCTATTGATGACGGCTGTGTGGTTCCGGGTGCTGGAGCAGTAGAAGTGGCCATGGCAGAAGCCCTGATTAAATACAAGCCAAGTATAAAGGGAAGGGCCCAGCTTGGAGTCCAAGCATTTGCAGATGCATTACTGATAATTCCCAAGGTTCTTGCTCAGAATTCTGGTTTTGACCTTCAGGAAACATTAGTTAAAATTCAAGCAGAACATTCAGAATCAGGTCAACTTGTGGGTGTAGACCTGAACACAGGCGAGCCGATGGTAGCAGCAGAAGTAGGCATATGGGATAATTATTGTGTAAAGAAACAGCTTCTTCACCACCATTCTCCTTGTTGATGAGATCATGCGAGCTGGAATGTCTTCTCTAAAAGGCTGAATGAATTAAAGCTTTCCTGTATCTTCTGAATTTTGAAGACTCTACAGAGTGATCTGGAAAAATATAGTTAGGGGAAATCGTCCAGGCTTCAAATGATGTTCAAAGGAATTTTACTTTCCCATGTGATAAAAGGAGAGAACATCTGTTCAAATTCTGGAGTTCTGAAATCAATAATTACAGTATTTTTTTAAATTGCACTGAAGTATACACACAAACCAACTCCTTTTTACCCAGCCAACAGGATGTTTGCTTTAGCTGCATAAAATTACATGTTAGATAAACATGTTATTTACCTTGTTATTAAATATTCATTGAAAAACTCAAAAAATAAATAAATAAATAAATAAATATCTTTTTCTTAAATCAGGAGCAAAATGAGAGTGTTCATTTATATTATTTCTTTCAGCATTTTACTGAAGGTCCTAAATAATGTGCTATGGTAAGTTAAAGACCATAAAAGAAACTGAAAGAATGGTCTTTATTTACTCACAGCAAGCAAGCTAAATATGTGACTGACTATACAAAAGAAATTGAAGAGAAAAAAAAACGCACAGAAGGCCACAGTATAGCCTAATGGTTAAAGGGGTCAGATACTGGATGGCAGATCACTGTTGAATTTCAAGCCCCAGCAGCTTGAGAGATGAGACATGCTGAGCGCGACCGATGACCTAGCTCCTTCGAGGGGAGTGGGAGTGCTTCCTTCTCTCTGTCTTTCTCTTTCTCTCTGGTGACCACATGGAACTTTTGGGAAAAAAAAAAAAGCTACATGACCTGAAATGTGAGTTTAGAAAGTTTTCTGACTCCCTGGTCATTATAAAGTGATAAAGACATATATCTATTTTGGCAGCAAACATTCGTAAATTGAAATGGAAAAAAAAAATAGAAATAAACAAGTGAAAGATTTAAGAATAAGCTGAAACTATCTGTGGGATTTGTTTACTAAAGTTTATAAAATATTGCTGATAGAAGTTAAAGAGGACCTATACACATGAAAATATATCAAGTTACAGTGGACGTTGGCATAGAACAGACAAATTAATTGTCAGAACAGAAAGGAGTATAGAAATAGTGCTAAGACATCGAACCAGCTTAATTGGGAATAACTTTTAAACAAATGATACTGGTAAGTAGAACATCTATATTTAAAAATAAAAACTCTTTGATTCCTACTTCCTATTGTATACAAAAAATTTTAGATTAATCATGACCCTAAAAATAGAAGTAAAAATATAAGTCTTATAGAACTAAACCAAGGTAAATATGTTTGTGATGTTGGGGTCAGCAAATGATTTTCAGAACACAAAAATCAATGACAGATTGGCAAAATCATGGGTTAGGAAATATGTATACCTATAGATAGATAGATAGATATATACAAAAAAAACGCACAGAAGGCCACAGTATAGCCTAATGGTTAAAGGGGTCAGATACTGGATGGCAGATCACTGTTGAATTTCAAGCCCCAGCAGCTTGAGAGATGAGACATGCTGAGCGCGACCGATGACCTAGCTCCTTCGAGGGGAGTGGGAGTGCTTCCTTCTCTCTGTCTTTCTCTTTCTCTCTGGTGACCACATGGAACTTTTGGGAAAAAAAAAAAAGCTACATGACCTGAAATGTGAGTTTAGAAAGTTTTCTGACTCCCTGGTCATTATAAAGTGATAAAGACATATATCTATTTTGGCAGCAAACATTCGTAAATTGAAATGGAAAAAAAAAATAGAAATAAACAAGTGAAAGATTTAAGAATAAGCTGAAACTATCTGTGGGATTTGTTTACTAAAGTTTATAAAATATTGCTGATAGAAGTTAAAGAGGACCTATACACATGAAAATATATCAAGTTACAGTGGACGTTGGCATAGAACAGACAAATTAATTGTCAGAACAGAAAGGAGTATAGAAATAGTGCTAAGACATCGAACCAGCTTAATTGGGAATAACTTTTAAACAAATGATACTGGTAAGTAGAACATCTATATTTAAAAATAAAAACTCTTTGATTCCTACTTCCTATTGTATACAAAAAATTTTAGATTAATCATGACCCTAAAAATAGAAGTAAAAATATAAGTCTTATAGAACTAAACCAAGGTAAATATGTTTGTGATGTTGGGGTCAGCAAATGATTTTCAGAACACAAAAATCAATGACAGATTGGCAAAATCATGGGTTAGGAAATATGTATACCTATAGATAGATAGATAGATATATACATATATATGTATGTATTTTATAAAGAACTTATTTGTACTAAATATAAATCTGTTGTAACATAATAATGGAAAGATAGTCTACTGAAAATGGGCAAAATATTTGCAAGGATGTGTCACAATAGAAAGTGAGGAACCAGTAAGCCTATAAAAACATGGTCAACATAATGAGTCTTCAGGGTATATGAGACTAGATAAGTGAAAGCATAACTAGATACCATCGCATCTCCAATAGAATGGCCAAAATTTAAGTCCATCAACATAAAAAAAAAATGGTAGGGTGTGGAGCAACCCAAACTCTCATGCTTCACTAGTGGGAATATACATTGGCAGAACCATTTAGAATATTATTTACCAATTCCTTGTTAAACTACACATACACTAACAATATGACCTAGTAATTTCACCTCTGGATATTAAACCAAAATAATATGAATGTATGTACACAAAAATGTTTTTACGAAAATGATCTCAGTAGCATAATTCATGGTGGATCAAAACTTAAAATGGTCCAGATGTTCATTGAGAGAAGAAAGATTATACAAATTGTAGAAGATTTATAGAAGGGAAAACAATTCAGCAATAAAAAGGAACAAACTATGGTGATTTGAAACTTGGACTAACTCCAAAACATTATGCTGTGGAGAAAAAAAAGAAGAGGCAAAATAATAATAATAAAAAAAAGATTCACTCTATGCTAAGTTCCAGTATAGATAAAAATCAACAGTGGTTTCCTGGAACCAGGGTTGGTAGTGGTGGTGGTGGAGAAGTGGAGGTGGGTGAAGACAGTTTGAGTACAGAGTGCAAATGAACCTTAGGAAATTTTGTGAGGCAATGGAAATATTTCATATATTTTCCATAATGGTTAACATGAGTATACGTATGTATCTTTGATAAATTGATTGAATATTCCTCTTCTACTTCATTTATTATTTTAAGCATTATTTTATTTAACTTTATTTATTTTGTAAATTTGACCATAAAGGGACAGAGCAAGAGAGCAAGAGTGAGAGAGAGAGAAAGTGAGAAAGTGAAAAAGCAAGCCACCAAGTCTGGGGCTCAAACCATGGTTGGGACCAACTGGGAGTCTAGCACTCTTAACCACCACACCACCTGCTGGCCCCCCAACTCATTCATTTCACTGTATGTAAATAATTTCTCAATTTTTTTTTTTAATTGAAGAAATGAATAGAAGGCTGGCTTCATGGTACAGCAGTAAAATTCTGCTCAAGAGAAGCTGGATTCCACATGGCAACTCTCATTCAAATGCCCTGGTTGGTAGGCCTGAAAACATGTTGGGCACATGGGTGAGTGCCCAAGATCCAAAAGGCTGGTGAACTAAAAGAAAGGGATCAAGGCATGACCAGATCCTATGCAGTGAGCTTGCCTCTCTCATACATACTAATGCATGTGCACACATGTGTTCTATCATGGATTTTAAAAAATAAATGGAGATTGAAAAAAGAGAAATTTGGGGACCAGCAGGTGGTGTGGTGGTTAAGGCGCTGGACACTCCCACATGACTGACTATGGTTCAAGTCCTGGACCTGTTGGCTTGCTTTCTCACTTTCCTTCTCTCACTCTTTCTCTGTGTCTCTCTGGTCAAATTAAAAAAATAAATGAATGAAAATTAAATAAATAATTATTTAAAAAAGAAAGAGAGATTTAACATTTTTTAATGTAACATTTTGCCAACCTATGTCTGCCCTTAGAATTTTTCTAGGATAAAAAGTGTGGACTAAACTGGTCAATAACAATAATGTACTGCAGTTGTTTATTCAGATATTAATTTTATTTTACTTGCTAGTTCCTATTGATAAATCTGAATAGTCACTATATAAGATAGTGGTTATTTATGATCGGTGACATTCTTTTCTTCTCTAAAACTAAGAAAGTTGAACTGATTAATGTTCAAAGATATTCAGGTGACTTTGGACTGACCCTAGCCTATCAGGGAGAAATCCAGTGATCAGCAAGCTTTCTCAGCCTCTAATCCATTACCTTGAAATATATAGCACACAATGCGAAGCTGATTTACTGTGGCAGCCACTTGAACACGTCTTACCATCACCCAAGTGAACCTTCTTTAAGATTGATGGGAGTCAAAAAGACTGAAGCCTATCCAATGGCTCAATTTCACAAAAAAGGAAAGCAATTATTTTTTAAAAAAATAAATGAACTAATCTTTCTATTTTTAAATTAATATGTCTAATTGAATTCTCTTAAAAAATCAAGGTTTATTTATCTCTTGTTGCCTCTATTACTTAATTTTTCCTGCCCTATGTATTTATTTAAAAAAAAATAACAAAGAGTGCTATTTTTCTGAGTGGAAAGCAATGCAAATATTTTAATGCTTTCCTTAACAAACACATACATGCTGGATCAGCGTAGTAAAGTGGTTCAGAGTTTGAGATTTAGAGTTCGATTGTCCAGCCATGCCACGTATACAATATAGATGATATTACTGAATTTATCTAAATTTCTGAACTTAATTTCTAACACATTTAAGAGATGGTAAAATAATGCCTATCCCATAAAGTCATTGTGAGAAATGAGAAAGTTCATGCCAAATCCATTGCCTGATAACTTTAAAGCACATAATAAATATTCCAAGTGTATTGTTTTTTGCAACTTTCATTTGTTTTCAGGTTCACAAGAAGCTTTTCTGGAATGTAAAAAGACCAACCCTTACTAAAAAAATTGATATTAAATTATTAATACATTTTTCACATAAGAAGCAGGTTAAGTAA